TTTGTGTCTCCAAGATTTTAGGGGGGGGAGGTAATTACCCACATGATTCTGGGGGAGGTAATTACCCACATGATTCTAGGGGGTAAATAAGCCCTATTATACACCACTGGGCAGGAGGTAGTTCAGCGAGGTAACATTCATTTTAATTCAGAACTGTTGCATATTTTAGACGTTGGCACGAATTGGAATTAAGAAAAGATTTAAGATTGGTACACCCCAAGGTTATTTATTAAGATAAGATACTCTAGATGCACTCCAATGTAATAGAAATGTCGACTCCGTAGATGCGCATCCAGAGTATCTAACCATAGCAAACAACCTTGGCACACCCTAATGTTACCTGTACATTGTATCCTTGTAGCCTAACTTCTGTTGTGATATACTCATCCAGCTGGGACGGGCAGTACACATTTTTCTCCCCCTTCCCTCCACCTGCCATCTTCGAACCTGCTCCTGGACCTTTAGAACCCGCTCCTCATGGGTTCCATGCAGATGCCTTAACAGAATAATTTTAAACCGGATATTTTAAACTTTTTATCTTATTACTTATCTTTTAGCTTTGAATGAACTATGAAAGTCCCAATTTTAATCGTTCTTAAATTTTCTGTATATATTTCAAAATAATAGTTTTTCGACATTTTTTCCGGTCAAGATTTTCCATTTTCTAATTCTATTGGACAAAAAGAAACATTAAAAAAGATATATGTATATACAGAAGTGGTATTTTGTTCAAGAGATTTGTTACTGAATAATTATTTTAGTATAAATTCTATTAGATTTTTTATCTAATTATATCTAAATAGCTAATCTGCTTTCAAGCATGTTTGTAAATAGTAAGAAATAATTTTGTTTCTTTTTGAAAAACCCACAATATTTCAACAATATAGTTAAGATATATTGTATTAGTAATTAAATAAGTTGTATTGAAAAAAAAAGCTAAGTAGTAAGTACCATGTTTTTCCTTTGTAAAGTACCAAATATGATTTCAATGAAGGTTATTCGACTTCAAAGCAGATTTGTAAAGTAAATGAAATAATGTAAATGTAAACTTTTTCCTTATTGGTCTTATTTTCCTAGAGATAAAACTGGAGTTAATTTACCCTTTGAATATAAAAAGAATATTTAAAAGCAGAAAATTTAAATTTAAATCTCTTCTAATTGAATTTATTGAAATGCAAATGGTTCTCAGTCTATCTCTGACGTACAAGGATTAAAGGGATTAATGGGATCCTTATCGTAGTAATTCAAGTAAACTAATAATCATTATATTAAATGCTTACAGACATTTAAAAAGTCTTAGTAAAGAGTTAAAGTCATGAACATTGTCCACAGCTCTTAGACTTTTAACTTTCGTTACGTCTTTTGTATCATTGACCAATCTGACTTTTCAATTTTTAAAATTCCTCTAATGAGATATCATACCATTTCAATATTTACAAATGTAACGAAATAAATTTATAAAACCCAAATATTAATAAGAGGAAAGCTGTTTAGGCTATATTAATTAACAATTCCAAGCACTGTACTGTAATGTACTGCAAATATTTTACTGTACTGTACTGTACTGTTCTATAATGTGCTGTACTGTACTGTACTGTACTGTACTGTACTGTACTGTACTGTACTGTAATGTACTTTACTGTACTGTACTGTACTGTACTGTACTGTACTGTACTGTACTGTACTGTTCTGTACTGTACTGAACTGTACTGTAACTATATACCTGGTATAGTAGCGTGCAAGAGTAAGCCAATAGAGTATAGAATCGTAGAGGAATGATATAGGGAGGAGAATAGGACACACATATTTAGCCCAATCTAAGCCCATTTTATCTTAAGTCTAAATCTAAATGTTATCATTTGTGACAAAATAGTTTTGAAGTTTTTCAATGAACCAATAGTAAACTCTAAATGCAAGTTAAAATTATTTGTTCATCATGTAACTACAGAACAGTTAAGAAAATCTTTCTTTCACAAAAAAATGTTAACTGAAACAAAAACTGAATTTGCATAGGTATTAAGGTACTCTTGGATGGTTCTGCCTTTAATTCTTAACTAAATAAAGGGGTTTAGCTTAACAAATACAGTAAAAAGAAATGACTGTGCAATGCAAAACATTTTAGCAACGAGTTGCAATGAAGTGTTTCATAAAAAAAGTTTCGAAAATATATTTTCTTGGACATTTTTTGCTCTACCTTGACATTTTATAGAACGAAATAAATGTTAACAAAAAATTGTTTAAAAATTAATTTTCTTGTTTTGCGAGTAAGTCAGTAAAACTTCAAATTTTTACTGAATAGTTGAACCATGATGTTGCATTTAAAAGATCAGCTGAATTATGCAACAATACTTTTACAAGAATTCAATCCTAACTTTAAAAAAAAACTTAATATAAATTCTTATGCACTACAGGAAGAATGCTATCAACGATACACAATATTATATCCTTCAACTGCACTCTCTGAAAATTCAGAAATTCGTCCAGGATAAATCAATTTTGGCCATTTTCTAGCTCATCTTTGCTGTGTAGAAATTTACACACATGATTTTCTGTTGTTCATCGTATTCAGAAAATAGAGGATATATCATGTACATATAACATACACATATTATGTACATAATCGAAAAATTCCTGGTGGACAGGGCAAAAGCACTTAAAACTATTTTCTAAGAAGTCAAGAATTTGAGATGGATTCTAACAGTTTAGAAGTGTACAGTTCACACGAATTCTTCCTTATAAAATCCTTGGCTTTACCATGGTTGGACCATTCAGGGGCAGGTAAACCATTTTGATAACAAATTTAATATCTGTAAGTTCTTAATAAATTTTGAAAGTGTTTGGTTTAATTTTATATTTTTATTTTGTGGAGGTGACTTATCCCTGTTTACCTGTGTATACCGCTGTATTCAGTGACCTCATATACAACCTGTTACTTAGTTGAAATATTAATCTATCTTCCTATCTATCATTTTATCTATCTTTCTTTCTTTTGGTCAGTCTTTCTATCTGCCCAAAGGCGCAAATAGTTGAGCTAGGGGGGGGGNCCCCTGGACCAGCGAAATCTATGGATGTCAGGGAGATTTTCAGGTCCCAACGGGTGCCCTCCCCCCGAAAGATAAAAAAAGGTTAAGCCCCCCCCCTGGATAAATTCCTGGAGATGTACACGGAAGTCCCTGATGAAAATTGCGAAAACGAAAAATAGGATAAAAAATGGGAAATTATTGAGATACATTTTCTTTTCAAGTTTCATTTCATTTCATTATATTATATACAATATAATATATAAAGGCAATCCATGGGCGTATACAGAAATAAATCAAAGGAGACTAAATATGCGCAAAGCGCAAACTTGTTTTCGCCTAGAGGAACTTGTTTTTGCCTGTAGGAGCTCATTTGAACTGTGAAATCAAAACATTTGACTCCTTGGATATCAGACATTTAAGATACTTTACACATACGGTCCGATTGCAAATACTACATTATCTCTCAACCTTCAAAAAAATGCTTCTAAAAAATTTACATTTTATTATTTACACTATAGAGATAGTAAAAGAAATTTTTAAAAATGAAATTCTGTGAAAACCCAACTCTGTAAACTTAAAAGGGAAAATTAGGTTACAGCACTCCAATAATATAGAGGGAGGCATTGCCCCCTTGCCCCCCCCCCTTGTATACGACCTGCAATAATATAGAGGGAGGCATTACCCCCTTGCCTTCCCCCCTTGTATACACCCTTGAGGCAATCAACATTATGTTGAATTTTAAACGTATATTGTTCTGTTTATAATCCTACTTTCAACTCCAATTTTCTAATTCTTGAAATTCCGCCAGATTGCAGATTTAAAGGGAGTGTTCGCAAAAGATGAAAGGGGGTATAGACATACGGCTTCTGTTGCGTCTATAAGGAGAAAATTGTTGAAAACGTCTCATACCGAAGAAAGTAGCGTCCATACAAATTCAGAAAGTTTCAGCATACGACTCGGATCGTAAATAAAATCAACTTAATTCCAAACAAATCATTCAGATATTACAACCTATAATCGACGCATTCGTATATAGTTGACATTTCTTAATATAATTCTTTATTTTTATGATCCGATAGTTACTTTTGAAAACATTTACTCCTGTTTCGAGGATTTTTGATAATGAAGACGACATTTTCATATTTTCCGAATTTTCGAAAATTCAGCGCCAGCCGTGAAAGGAAGTTGTAACCCTAATATCATTTAAAACAAAGAAATCAAAAATATTAAGAAATATCAACTGTATACGAATGCGTCAAAAAATTATCGATGATTAAATTGGTTGTAATATCTGAATGATTTGTTTGGAATTAAATTGATTTTTTTACGATCTGAATTGAATATTGCAACTTTCTTAATTTGTATGGACGCTACGTTCTTTGGTATGAGTCGTTTTTAACAATTTTCTCCTTATATACGCAACAGATTGAAGAAAGATTAGGAGCGATTACCATCGATCATTTTTGGCCGTGAGCTATATGCCCAGGTTTCCAACGCAAGTGGATTTCACTTTTGAGCAATTCCGCACGGTTGCGTGCAATGCGCGCAACGGAATTGCAATGGGAAAACCTACTATATGCCCCCTTTCATTTTTCGCGAACACTCCCTTTAAGTTATGACTTTAAATAGTCCGACGAACATGAGGCACAGCAATTGAACCTCTGTGAGCTTGCAAGGCTCCATTTGTTAAATGAAACGTTCTGGGTCGACTCTATGCATGGGTAGCCTGACTGTACTGCAGTACGACGGATCACATTTACAGTACATGTGGTACCAGCATGGGTTATGCAACTTTTAGACAAATCTGTACATATTTTTAACCTTCCCGACATAAATTTGGATATAACACGTGTTTAAAGATATTGTAAATGTAATATTAAGTGACACTCTCAATTATGAGTGGTATGCCTGATTCACACTGGAAAATATAATGTTCATCCTTAAAGGGACTGTAAAGGAAAAATGAAAGGGGGTGTAGGCTGAGCCTTAGTAACTTAGGTTTGCTCCTATCATTATTTGAATTTAATAATTCTTTATTTTTAATAGATAGAATTGGTAATATCATTTAAACGTCCATATCACGTCACCAAAACTTTTACCAATGGCAGTGCAGTATGGCGGTCACATGATACAGACAGAGACACATGACAATAATACTGCATTGCCAATGGTGGAAGTCTTGTCATATTGTCAATAATTATATCTCTTAAAAATAAAAAATTATTAAATCAAATAATGACAGAGAGCAAACCTTAGTTACTTAGGCTCCTCTGGGATATCGTCGTTTTGAGATCGGTTTCGTATTTGTTGGATATAATCTATTTAAACCTACTATTTGTATACAACATTTCATATATATATATAGATTTTCGTATAAATTTGACACAGTTTTCAGACAGAACACATGGGTCTCGATCAACTCCTAAAATGCTTAGGTCTCAGCCTATACCCACGATAATTTTTCCTTTATAGTCCCTTTAAGCAGATGAAGGTTTTGAGCAAAACCAATTGAATCTGACGCTTGGGGTTCTCTTTAAATTCAATTCATTCTAATTTATTCTTGGGACCACATCCACTGGGTATAAAGTTAGATTATCTTACTTTTTTCCAAATCCTCTGGTTGAATTATAATCTTCCACTTTGTAAACAAAATACATCAAAGTGTTCATCATAAAAAAATTCTTAATTAAAGCTTTCTTACTGCAATCAGTTTATAATATCTTTAGATTAACCCCATTTCTAAAACCTGTATATAAGAATTAAACCAACTAAAAGTTCTATAATAAATGAAGTCAAAATAATAAATACGAGTAGAATAGTTTTACAATGTTCATATTTATAAATTTCAAACCCAGAAGTTAAAATGTTTGTGTGAATTAAATGACTTCTTAAACCCTTGATCTTGATATTTATTTGGACAACTTTTGAATTTATTAGTTTTCTCGAGTAGGGTACAATCGAGTAGGGTTATGGAATATTAGCATATTTAAGCAATCTGTATGTCTTGAAATCGATCCTTGTTCATGAAATTTATAACACAAAAGTTCTGGCCTCTGGCTTTATTAAAAAAAACGTTTAGGGCAAAGGTATTGAAAAAATTAGATTTCAATCTTAAAGTTCCTCGCCAAATTTCATTACGAGAAAAAGATAAAAATAAATAGTTTTTTTTTACAGTTTTACGCTAACCACTATTGATAGAAAGATAGGTATAGTTTAGGATGGGTCCAATATTATTTAGATATTAAAAGTTGGAATTTAAATTATTCCCAAGATATGACTTGATAATCTTGAAATATTGCATTTGCATTTTAGAAAACAATTAATTTAATATTTATTTATTTATGAATTATTTGTTTAAAAGTTCAATACTTGAAATCATTTTCAAATCATAGAGACAAAGATGAAAATAATAAAACATTAGTACGTATAAGCATAATGAGGGCTAAACCATTGATTATTAAGAAATTTATTGAACATATTTTTAGGTTAATCTTCTGAAGACGCAAAGAACTCAAGTTCTATACAAAGAAACCTTAATAGACTAAAAATTTACCCTTCACACGGCACACACCCCTTATACTAAAGCCTTGAAATGTATCATTTACTCGGAGACTTTCTATTGATTCTAATTTGTCAAAAAATAACAAATCATTTTTACTAATTATTATTATTTTTAAAAGGGGCGGGATTAAAGAAAATTGTTGCATACCAAAAAACCAGCTTTTATAAAGGAATTAAAATTGCAGAAATTAAGAATTTTTTCCTTACACATATATAGACAAGAGGAAAAATGTGAGTTTGAAATTGAGGTTGAGGTTTGGATTGAATTCTCCGAGCTCCCCTTGAACTGAACAGTATTGGTCCAGGTTATACGGAATATCTTCTATCCTCGACTGAAAAATAGAAAGCTTGATAAAAACTGC